AATCTCAGATTAAGTAATTTGCCTAAGGTTTCCCAGCAAATTAAGTGGCAGACAAGAATGTGAAGCCAAACAAACAAAACACAAAAGGAATTTAAAGCTAGATTTTTAGGCCTCCATGTTTTTTTGTTTGTTTTGTTATACTATCATGAGTATTGCATACGACCCAAATATTACCACTTGTTTTGTATGTGTGCATGTATTACTGATAGCTCTCTTTTTTCTCTGCAGGAAATGGACAGGCTGCTAGGATGGTCCAACTGCCAGGTGGGAGATTCCTGATGGGAACAAATTCCCCAGACAGCAGAGATGGTGAAGGGCCTGTGCGGGAGGTGACAGTGAAACCCTTTGCCATTGACATATTTCCCGTCACCAACAAAGAGTTCAGGTACATCAGGTGTTCTTCAAGGAGGAATGAAGGGCCTCTCTAATCTCTTTTTTTTTTTTTTTTTTGAGTTGGAGCCTTGCTCTGTCACCCAGTCTAGAGTTCAGTGGCAAAATCTTGGCTCACTGCAACCTCCGCCTTCTGGGTTTAAGCAATTATCCTGCCTCAGCCTCCCGAGTAGCTGGGATTACACCCTGCCACCACACCCGGCTCATTTTTGTATTTTTAGTAGAGACGGGGTTTCACCATACTGGCCAGGCTGGTCTCTTGGCCACACTGGTCCTGACCTTGTGATCTGCATGCCTTGGCCTTTCAAAGTGCTGGGATTACAGGCATGAGCCAGTGTGCCTGGCCCTCATTCTTAATATCTGAAGGGAAACTAACTTCTTCACTGTCATGGATCATCTTTGTCATGTACTATGGGATAAGTGTTGTCTACATTATTCAGATGAAGAATCTGAAATCCAGAGAGGCTTGACTGACTCTAGGTTAATGGATGAGTTTGGCCTGGAACTGAAATCCCTGGGCTCTTGAGCTGGTACATTTTCTATTACACTGGGCATAGCTCTGAGAAATATAAGCAAATGCCAGTCACTCAACAGAACCCTCTTCTACACGGGGAAAGGGATTGGGAGAAGGGACATCGTAGTAGAGAGTTCCTTTAATTCTCCTTATGAGACCAGTTGTGGTGGCTCACACCTGCAATGTGAGCACTTTGGGAAGCTGAGGTGGGAAGATTGCTTGAGCTCAGGAGTCTGAGACCAGCCTGGCAACATAGGGAGACCCTGTCTCTGCTAAAATAAATAAATATATAAATAAAGCATATAAATACACTTTTTTTAAAAAAATAGAGATGGGGTTTCACCATGTTGGCCAGGCTGGTCTCAAACTTCTGACCCCAGGTGATCCACCCACCTCAGCCTCCCAAAGTGCTGGGATTACAGGCATGAGCCATTGCACCCGGCTTAAGTACACGTATTTTTATATATGTATGAATATATATATAACAATCCATCTTACCCTGAGAGTCTGCCTGCTGAAACTTACTGAACCATACCAAACTATATGAAAATTCATTTTATTACTGATTTCTTTCTTTATTTCTGAGATGGAGTCTCGCTGTGTCACCCAGGCTGGAGTGCAATGGCGTGATCTCTGCTCACTGCAACCTCCACCTCCCGGATTCAAGTGATTCTCCTGCCTCAGCCTCCTGTATAGCTAGGATTATAGGCATGTGCCACCATGCCTGGCTAATTTTGTATATTTGGTAGAGACAGGGTTTCTCCATGTTGGTCAGGCTGGTCTTGAACTCCTGACCTCAGGTGATCCGCCTGCCTCAGCCTACCAAAGTGCTGGGATTACAGGCATGATCCACTGCGCCCAGCCTCATTTTATTATTATTATTATTATTATTATTTTTTTTTTTGAGACACATTCTCGCTGTGTCACACAGGCTGAAGTTCAGTGGTACAATCTCAGCTCACTGCAGCCTCTGCCTCCTGGGCTCAAATCATCCTCCCATCTCAGCCTCCTGAGTAGGTGGGACTACAGGTGCGCACTACCATGCCCAGCTTATTTTGTTTTGTATTTTTGGTAGAGACAGGGTTTTGCCTTGTTGCCCAGGCTGGTCTTGAACTCCTGGACTCAAGTGATCCTCTGCCTTGGCCTCCCAAAATGTTAGGATTATTGGTGTGAGCCACCACACCTGGCCTTGAAAATCCATTTTAAAAGCCCAATTTTTCACTTCTATTTGGTTCAGTGTTTTTCATCTGTTAAATGGAGTTAGTAACAGTAACACCTGTTACATCTACCTCTGACGATTGTTGTGAGATTAGACGTGTGATGAAGGGCTGGGTGCAGTGACTCACGCCTGTAATCCCAACAATTTAGGAGGCTGAGGTGGGAGGATCGCTTGAGCCCAGGAGTTCGAGACTGTCCTGGGCAACACAGATCCCATCTCTACTAAAAATAAAAATAAATTAGCCCTTCCTGGTAGCATGCACTTGTAGTTCCAGATAGTAGAGAGGCTGAGCCTGTAGTGTGAAAGGTTGAGGCTTTAGTGAGCCTCACGTGCACCACTGCACTTCAGCCTGGGCAATACAGAGACATCCTTTTTCCAAAAAAAGAAAAAAAAGAGATATGTGTTAGAGACTTTTCAGAAAACTGACCCATTCCCTACCCTTAAATCTCCTGCTCAGTGGCTTTATTCATGATCTCCAAAAACAGGAGATAACTCACATGACCTTCAGCTGCTAAGTGTATAAACAAAATACGGCATGTCCATACAATAACATACTACTTATCGATAAAAAGGGACAGACTACTAATGGCAACAACATGGATGAATCTCAGCAGCATTTTGCTAAGTGAAGGAAGCCCCATCCCTGACCCAGAAGGCTACATACTACATGATTCAAGTTATATTGTGTTCTGGGAAAGGCGAAACTATAAGGACAAGAAAACCTGACCAATGGTTGCTGAGTAGCAGGGAAATTTTTTTAGAGGTGACTGATGGAATTGTTCTGTATCTTTTTTTAATTAAAAAAAAAATTTTATTTTTTTTAAAATATATATTTTATTGCATTTTTGGTTTTGGGGTACATGTGAAGAACATGCAAGATTGTTGTGTAGGTACATACATGGCAGTGTGGTTTGCTGCCTTCCTCCCCATCACCTATATCTGGCGTTTCTCCCCATGTTATCTATCCCCAACTCCCCACCCCCAGGTGTCCCTCCCGTAGATCCCCCTCACAGACCCCAGTGTGTGATGCTCCCCTCCCTGTGTCCATGTGTTCTCATTGTTCATCCCCTCCTGTGAGTGAGAACATGTGGTGTTTGATTTTCTGTTCTTGTGTCAGTTTGCTGAGAATGATGGTTTCCAGGTTCATCCATGTCCCTGCAAAGGACACTAACTCATCGTTTTGGATGGCTGCATAGTATTCCATGGTGTATATGTTCCACGTTTTCCCTGTGCAGTCTATCATCGATGGGCATTTGGGTTGGTTCCAGGTCTTTGCTGTTGTAAACAGTGCTGCAGTGAACATTGTGTGCATGTGTCTTTATAATAGAACGATTTATACTCCTTTGGATATATACCCAGTAATGGGATTGCTGGGTCAAATGAAATTTCTATTTCTAGGTCCTTGAGGAATTGCCACACTGTCTTCCACAATGATTGAACTAATTTACACTCCCACCAACAGTGTAAAAGTGTTCCTATTTCTCCACATCCTCTCCAGCATCTGTTGTCTCCAGATTTTTTAATGATC